CACACCACACGCACACACCACACACACACACACACACACACACACACACACACACACACACACACACACACACACACACACACACACACACACACACACACACACACACACACACACACACACACACACACACACACACACACACACACACACACTTTTTGGCACACCGTCAAACACCCGGATGTCACAAAGGTGCCTGGTGTGATCGACGGCCCGGGCGCGACGCAACATTGCTCACTGGATGGGCATGCTGGACCATGCACGGATAAGCAAAAGCAGGACCATGTTATCTCCACGATTTGGGTGTACCGGTCTATTTGTGTGGGGCTGCCCTAGAGTGCAGGGTAATTAGCCGTGCCGGCCCATCCCCTATCAAAATGGCGTGCCAACTTACCCGCTATCTAATGGGAGTGCCGGCCCATCCGCTATCAGATCGACGTGCTCTCAAGTGCTTCCCCGCCCAAGCGGGCTACTCCGCGCTTCGCGCTCGGGCGCTGCTTCGCCCTGCCACCTGAAGCCTTGAGAAACCTCCGTCCAGCGAAAATCATGCTGTCATGTGCGGCCCCCCTAACGCACAATGTCAGCTTACCCTTGATCACCACATCATGTGCAATTCCCCTTGCACACGCATGCCGCGCCTCGCTCAGCTGTGCGAGCGGGCCAGAAACGTACCATTTGCACTGTGGCACCCGCCTTGTAACGGCGCTGAAGTGGCCTGGCCTGCCTGGCGACGCGGGCTTCCTCGGCCTCTTGTCTTGCTGGCGCGACAGGGTGGGGCCCGGCGGCTTGCAGCTGGAACGAAACGCGAGAATGGGGTCGCTTCCTGCGACGGGATGGGTGCTGCGCCGCCAGGTCTGGCGACCCTGGCGGCGTCGACTCCATGCGCTTAGGACGCGGTATCTGTAGGCTGCCCCCGGGTGGTTTTGGTGGCCCCCGGCGGCTGGCCTTGCGCGCGCGATCGCTTGGGTCCTCGCCCGTCGCGTGTCGCGGCGGCCTCGTTGGGGGTGGTGTTGGTGACGCTGCGCGTGGTGGTAATTGGTGGCGGTCGCCGTGGTCTTTGCGCCTGGTGGTTATGCTCCTGGTGCTGATGGTCGTGCTCGTGGTGCTGGTCGTGGTCGCTGTGGCCATCGTGGTGCCCTTCGTGGCGTTGTGCTGGTCGTGGTCGCAGTGGTGTCTGCTGGCGCGGGTTGTCCTGCAGAGGCCGGACGTGGCCGCTTCTTGTGCTGCCGCCGCCTTGCGCGCAGCTCTGGTGCGAGGGTTCCCTTTATTGGCCCCCCCGCGCTGGCCAGGGGCAGCGGCCGTTGCCTCTGAAGGCTGCGGTTCGTGCCCAGCTGTTGGTGGAACTGCCCACACCCCATCTTCGCGCAGGGCGGGCGCTCGTGGGGGGGGAGGCATGCGGGAGTTCAGCAGGACCTGGGGACGTATCGCGTCGCTGCCCACCGTTGCCTGCCCTGCTGCGGTGCCCTTGTCGATTCCGCGCGCGGGGGACGTGGTGGCGGCCTCGCGGGGTGCCCCTGGGAGGCGGCTGCAGCCTTGTGAGCGACGCGCTGCGGCCTCCGCGGTGGCGATGGTTCGGCAGCTTTCTTCGTATGCCTTCGTGTGCGTGTGCGCGCGTCTGGTTCGACGGGCTGTTTGCCCCTTGTGACCCTTCCCACCTTGGGCCATGATTGCCGCGGAGCCTTCGGTTGTGTAGTCGCATGTCTTTTGCTTTGTGTAGGCGGGCACCAATTTCTTGTGCTTGAAACGCACGTGCAGCAGTGCTTGGATGCAGTCTCGGGCGCTTCCCGTGGGTGGGTCGTCGTGGTCTTTGGCGTTGGTGTGGTATTCTGGGTTTGCGCTGTGTTGTTTTACGTTTTGTGTGCTGCCCCGCGCCGCGTGTCGCCCCATGTGGGATAGTGATGATAGTGGCAAAAGTAGGACGGTCCATGGTGCATCTAGAGAGTATCATGCGAACAACACGAAGCGATAGGAACGGACTGATAAACGGGCACAGGAGAACCCCCCCCTACCAGACTAAGACATGGGATCCATACTACTTAGCTATGATATGAAGGGTGCAGTGAAAACACCATCGGTGAAATTATATAGTGGATGGGGGTCTGCATCCTTGTAATGATAGTGTCACGAAACAAGGAACACCACTTTTATAGTACATCTGCATCGCGTGGTCGTAGCAATGGTGATCCCTGTGCCAAGGGTCCTGGAGGGACGCAGAAGCAGGGATACCCACGTAATATTCAAACTAGTAGAATGATGACGGAAGATGCACGCACACTGTTGGTAGGGACGACAGGGCGGGGAGGCAAAGGAGGAAAACGCAAGAGAGGGAGGCTGGACAGAAAGTGCTCTCTGACTCAGAGTATGCGTGTGCAGAGATTTCGTGTTTTGTCGGATGGTTCTCCGCGTGCATGTTGGCGCTCATCCAGTTCGCCGCGGGAACACACCCTCGAACATCGGTGCCCGAACTGGCTGGCCAGGCGGATCCGAGCGTCAGCCCTGCTCCGTCTGCGGCCTTTTCGACGGGCTTGTGGGCAGCTGTGCCGCTGCGTACGCTTTTTATGGGCGACATGCGGAATAATTCTGGCGGCCATTCGATCCGTTGGCCTCAGGGCCTGTGGCCCTGCATTGCGTGTGAGTGTGCGGGCCCTGCTGCCCGTCGTGGTCCTCGCGTGCGGAGTTGCGACCATGAGTCGGTTTGGTGATTCGTGGCCCGATGACTCCGCGTAGCCCGGTTGCTTGAATCTGTTCATGGCTGGTCGGCAGGAATAATGGATCAGGAATTTTCTTACGGCGTCTCGTCACGCGGCATCAGCATGCGAAACACAGTCGGTGACCCTATTTCAACAAGACACGTTTGCACACGCAGCTTCGTTCGTCGTCCTTGCATTTCGGCAGCATCATTAGAAATTGGAATTCGTCCTCCGACAGGTGATCGGAGCGCTGGGGGTGCAAGCAGCAGCGACGCGACTCCACTCTACGAGCCTTTGGATGGGCGGGTGGTGCGGGGTGTGTGCCGCAAGAGTCGGGCTGCGCTTGTGAATTCGTCTGTGAGGGAGTTAGGGTGTGCAGTGGCAGGGCGTTGTTCTCCTTGATCGCTCAAGCCTCGTGTTGTTCTTCAGCAGCCTGACGTCATCCTGGCGGCGTTGGGGCACTTCTGTTAGTGCGGTTGACCGTTCGACGCGGCGATTGCGGAGCACGGCAAAGAGCCAGGGAGGAGAAGAGGATTTGGAGGAGGGGGCAGAGAACGATGATAATGAGGATGCGGGTGATGGTGATGATGGTGGTTGTGGTTGTGGTGGTGGTGGTGATGGTGATGATGATGATGCTGCTGATGATGATGATGATGATGGGCATGGTGATGGTTATGGTGATGGTGATGGTGATGGTGGTGGTAATGGTGATGGTGATGATGATGACGATGATGATGCTGATGCTGATGCTGCTGCTGCTGATGATGATGATGATGATGATGACGATGCTGATGCTGATGCTGCTGATGATGATGCTGCTGCTGCTGCTGATGATGATGATGATGATGATGATGATGATGATGATGATGATGATGATGATGATGATGATGATCGGGAGGAGGAGGAGCAGGAGGAGGAGGAGGAGGAGGAGCAGGAGCCTCAGGAGGAGGAGTGGAAAGAGGGAACCAAGGAAAATGAGGAGCAGGAGGAGGGAGGAGGAGGAGGAGGGGGAGGAGGAGGAGGAGGAGGAGGAGGAGGAGGAGGAGGAGGAGGAGGAGAAGGAGGAGGAGGAGGAGGAGGAGGACGTGGAGGAGTAGGATGAGGAGCCGGGCTTGTCCGTCCCTTGTTCCCCTCCCCTTTTTTTCCCTCTCCTGTCGTTTTCCCTGTCCACGTCTGGCGACCCCAAAGGGGCCACCAGATCCGCCGGCGTTGTTGCATCGGCGGTTGCTGTCAAACAAGCTCTTCTCCGCCGAGCAGCTTGTGTTTAGCCACACGTTGGGTTGGGCGGTTCAGCCACGGCTGAGGCCGATAGAGAGGACGGTTGTATAGCTGGCAAAGCACATGTATCATAGGTATATAGCTTCCATTCTTTCCCATGAGTTCGTTTCTTTGACTCCGCATCTAGGGGACAGACATCGATGAGTTGCTCTTCGAGCCAGGACATCAGGTAAATGTGCGGTAGGATCCCGCTCGAGGTGCCCTGGTGTCACTTGATCGGACGGGCCTAGAATCGAGATAGATCCATTCCAGAGCGTTCCGGAACGCTCTCGGTGCGTTCCGGAACGCTTTGAAACGGCCGCGGCGCGCGATGCGTCCTCCAAGCCCGCCGATTCTCGGAGATTTCAGGTTGATATCGGTCCGATTTTGCCTCGATTCTGCCATCGTCTTAGATGACGAGCCCCACCAGGAAATCGATCTCGGTGTTGGTTCGGGTCGTGTCGCGCGTGTCGGCGAGACGGAGTTGCGCTTGCGAGCAGAAGGCGGGAACCGCCCCCAGGACGGTGTACCAGGGGTTGCCCCGTGATTGTCCCGCTTGGTCTGGTCTTGCCTCGAGAGCGGCTCCCCGCGGGTTGTCCTGCAGATGTTGCGTTCTATTGGCCCGGCGGTTGTCGTGTTTCGGCCACGCGCAGAGGGGGGTAGGTGCAGGGAGGGAGGCTTCTTACAAGCACCTCTGTCACTACAGATTTGGGTGGGGCTTGCGCGAGGGTTCCTGTTCCTGGATTCTGGCAGTCCTGGGTATCGGCCGTGCTCGACCATTGGTCGGGAGTGGGCAGGATGAAGACGCCGTGGCCGAGCAGGGCTCCCTGGCTGAAAGTGGTGCTGCGCTCTCGCATCGCCTCTACTCTCCTCTCGCAGGGCACTGCTCCAGGACTGATTCATGTCTGCACCTTTGGTGATCCCCTTGCATTCGACAAGTGCTGGTAAAAGGGGTAAAGTGATCACATGCGTGCGCGGGCGAGCGCAGCCGCATGTTTGGGCGTGGCCTCATGTACGTGTGCCAGACTATCTGCAGATCCAGAGTACACAGACACAGAAGTTAGTCTATCGTTCGGGGCTCGATCATGGATGGTAGATCGCTGATTCACGGATTGGTCGGGGAGGGCGATCGGTTGTGTGCTCGGTCGAAGGACTGTTCGCCTTCGGGTCGATCGGGCCGGCTGGATTGGGATCGGGGTCGGTTTGTGAATGAGTCTGGATTGGGGTGATGCTGTCGAGATCTACGCAGGTTCTGCCACATGGGTTCTTGTTTGACCAGTGAGTTCGGAACAATTCGAGCCCCTTTTCCAAAGCCATCTGCTAGCATGGGTGCTTGTTCGTTGGTCGATTTCTCCATTGGAATTGTTTTTGCGATGATCACCAGTGTGGCGGCAGAGCTGTCATGCTCCACGGATGCTTGCAGCAGTGACGTGTTTGTCTCGTCTGGCCCTGCGTCAGACTGTCTTTCTGTGCTTGCCAAGCTCATGCCCCACACATCTGCTTGCTGCTCACTGGCGGGCGACAAGGTCCACAGCGCTCCGCCGGAAGTTGCTGCATCAACACGCAGGGGCAGGCGCAGGGCACGTACATGTTGCTTTCGTGCTGTGGCTTGGCCGCTGATTTTTGCACGGGTGTCTAGCTTATCGTGAGCAACTGTCGCCTTCAGTGTCGCGCTTGCCTCAGGACGTGTGGGTCAAGTATGCCAAAGCTCGCTCACGTTCCCATGTTTCTTTGATCATCGAGTGCTGTACGGGGGCTCGGTTCGATTCGTTCGAGAAAGGCGGCTCTGAAGTCTACAAGCCCCGAGCAGTTGCCGCGTGCCGTGCCGTGCCCGCGTGCTGTTCCGTGCTCGGCTTCGGGAGAGCGAAGCAGTTGCCGTGGTTTGCTGCGTTTCGGGAGTGCGGGGGGAAGTTGCCGTGTCGTGCCGTGCTATGCACGCGTGCCGTGCCGTGTTCGGTTTCGGGAGTGCGGGGGAGTTGCCGTGCTGTGCCGTGCGGTGCCCGCGTGCCGTGCTCGCTTTCGACAGTGCGAAGCCGTCGCGCTGTCGGGCCGTTCCGTGTCCTCGCGCGGTGCCGTGCCGTGCCACGCTTGGCTTCGAAGATGTGGAGAGTTGCCGTGCCGTGTCGTGCCGTGCCCGCGTGCCGACCCGTGTCGTGTTTAGTTTCGAAGCGCGATGCATAGCCATGCCGTTCCGTTCCGTGCCCGCGTTCCGCGCCGTCCCGTGCCATGCTTGGATTCGGCAATACGAGAAGATTGCCGCTCGGTGCCGTGCCCGCGTGCTGTACTTTGTCGTGGCGTGCTTGGTCTCGAGAGTGCAATGAGTTGCCGTGTCGTGCCGTGCCGGCGTGCCGTGTGCCGTGCGTGGCTTCGAGATGCAAGACAGTGCAGTGCCCGCGTGTCGTGTCGTGCCTTGCCGTGCCGTGCTGCGCTTGGTATCGAGCATGCGAACAAGTTGCCTTGTTGTGCCCGCGTGCAGTGCCTGCATGCCGTACCGTGCTTGTTTCCGAGATGCGAAAATATTGCCGTACCGTTCCGTGCCATGCTTGTTTTCAAGGTGCGAGAACATGCAGTACCGTGCCATGACGTGTTTTTGTTGCGGAGCGCTGGACGATCATCGCGCCGTGCCGACCATGTGTCTTATCAAGCAGCGCTTGCGTTTTTGAATCGGAAGTGGTCGATTGTACGTTTTGCGTTCAAATCGTGCGCATCAATCGTGTGGGAAATGTCGTGCGGTCGGGACCTATCATCGTATTCTCATGGTAGGAGGTCGTCATTGAGGCTGCTGGGTGTCTGTCGCCTAGCAATTCCAGTTTGCTGCAGTGTGCTGCTTGCCGAGTGATTCCTTTTTGATTATGCGTTGCACAGTTCAGGTCTGTCCTATATCTCAGTGAGCTGTAGCCCAACGCTTGAAAGTATGACCCGAGCGCCACTCCCGTTTAGCTTAGATCAAGAACGGCATACCGGCATTGCGGAATCATGCGCCTACCTCTTTGTTTATATGACGGTGCCGTTTGTTGCTTTACAGCAAGCTCATAATTGTGGGTTCAGCTTCTGAGCTAGAGCTAGGTTTAAGTCGGGCCTGTCCCTCTACAGGGGGAAGATTCAAACATAGTCAAAACATAGTATGGGGACTATTTTTGAATATATTTGGGCATCTTTTGAGTATTTTTTGAATATTTGTATTTTTCGTCCAAAATCCCCCTGCAGGGGGACAGGCCCGACCTAAAGCTAGGTATACATGTGGCCGTATATTTTTCCTTCCAGCTGTAGGAGGAGGCAGAGGGGAAGGTTGCCATGAGGTGCAGCACCAACTGCCTCTCCGTCAGAGCAGTCAGCGAGGGAGCTTGTCATGATATGCAGCGCCAGTCTCCTGTCCGCCAAAGCAGAGAATGAGCGTGCGAGCGAGGGAGCGGGAGACGGCGCGTGAGGCCTTCAACCTCTGCGTGGGCCTTGTGGTGTGTGCCAGCGCTGTCCTGTTGGCTCTCGAGGACGCCCTCCGCCAGCATCGTTTCCTCGGCTCCCCATCGCTTCCACTCTTTTCAAAGTTGTCGCGTTCCTGAGTCTCCATTCTATGCCACGCCCCTGCTGATCTTCAGTGCCTCACGTGCGCGTCGAAGCTTTAGGATGGTGCGCCTCGTAATGTCAGGTGAGCTGGAGTTCTTTGACTCTGCCTCGGGGCCCGCACCGCTCCCGAGTCTTTCTTCAGCGCTGGATGAGCAGCTCTCCGGTCTGAGAGCCACCTTAGCAGCGCGCTTCGCGACGCCAATGCGATGTGTTGGTTCTCCAGCGGTTCCTGGCGACACTGGCTCACGTGCCCCCTCGCGCCTGCAAGGTCGGAGGGAGGAGATGGGACAACAGGGGGGCGAGGAGGCGTTGGACGTAGGGCTCCGAGAGGCGGGGTGTGTGGTGCAAGTAGTTCGGGCGAGGGGAGGGGAGAAGAGGTGATGAGAGGGGGAGGGTCGCTCATGTGTACCCCTTTCCTCGTCCTTACCCTCGTCTCTATCTTCCCAGGCGTCCCATCTCTGTCATTCGCTCCCCTCTCTCCCCCTCTCTGGCTCTCTCTCGCCCTCTCTCTCGGTCGCTCTCTCCTCCCCGCTCCCTCGCTTCTTGCGACGCCCCTGGAGCAAGGCCTGGCAGATCTGGCCTCCCCCCCCCGCTCCTCCTTCTCCTCTGCGCCGCTCCTCCCCGCTCCTTCGCAGGGGGGCTGCACCGACCTATTCTATCGGGTACGGCCGAGGGCGCGGCGCGACTTTTCGCACGCGCAGTCGACCTTACAGCTCCGCCGAGAGACCTCCCCGCGCTTGCCCAGCCGAGCACCTGTCCGAGCAGCCTCCACAGTGCAGCATCGGCCCTCACCCCTCTCGATTGGGGTTGCGGATCTGCTCCGCGATCTTTTTCCACTTGGCTCGTGCCGCGAACGGCACGCGCGCGAGCGACAGGGCCTGCACCGAAACATGTTGAGGGCTGCGTTAGAGAAAGCAAGTCCGTACGAGCAGCCTCCAGGTGATCGTTTTGTATTCATTGTTTTGCCGATCGGCGCGGGCCCTCGCTGCCCCTCCCTCCCCTTCCCTTGGAGTAGATCTTGGCTGTTTTTGGCGCCTGCTTCAAGCAGGTGGAGTTCCCCCCGCAGGGCGCACTGTCGCAAACAGTTGCATTGAGCAGAGGTCCGGAGCCAGACCCCCCCCCTCCCCCCCCCCCTTCCGCCCAACGTCGGAACGCCAAAAAAGAGAGAACGCTTACCAGGCGGCCGGCCGAGGTCCAGAGCCCCCTCGGGGCGCCGAAGAGAGGAGGAGGAGGAGGAGAGCACGAAGACCGGCAAGAAGGGCGCGGCGATCGCAGACGCAGGGGCAATGAGCAAGAAGCTCGCCGCCCCCCGGCGCGGAGCTGGCGCTGGAGTGAGCCAGTGTCCGCCGGGCTTGAGCCGCCACTCGCCGCAGCTCGCTCGAGGATAGCACGATGAGTGACCAATGATAGTCAGAAAGCAAGGGGGCAAGCAACGCCCCCTCTCAGGCGTTCTTTTGCGCAATGGGGGCATTGAGGAGGAGGAGAAGGAGGAGGAGGAGGAAGAAGAATAAGAGGAGGAGGCGGAGGAGGAGGCGGAGGAGGAGCATGGGGAGGAGGAGGAGGAGTAGAAGGAGGAGGAGGAGGCGGAGGAGGAGGCGGAGGAGGAATAATAATAATAGTCCTAATAGTACTAATAATACTACTAATATTAATAATTAAAATAAGAATACAAATAATAATGTGGAGATGGATTCTGAGGATGCTGATGATGATGATGATGATGATGATGATGATGATGATGATGATGCTGATGATGATGATGATGATGATGATGATGATGCTGATGCTGATGATGATGATGATGATGATGATGATGATGATGATGATGATGATGTGGAGGAGGAGGAGGAGGAGGAGGAGGAGAAGGAGGAGGAGGAGGAGAAGGAGGAGGAGGAGGAGGAGGAGGAGGAGGAGCCCTCGGTGTAGCTACGGCCGAATGGCAGGGAGGAGGGAGGAGGGAAAGGAGGGAGGAAAAATGAAGGAGGAGGGAGGACGAGGTCGATGATGAAGGAGGGCTTGAAGTGGTATGGCTTTGGATCGTCTGAACCCCTTGTAGTGGGCCCAGCTTTCTGGTGGCAACACCCTGGAGGGCACGGGCATGGCACCCGCCCATCGTGGTTGACACTCAAGGTCGGGGCAATCAGTTTGGGCAAAACGATGGCAAGGGCTGGGGGGCTTCCCAGTGACGCCGCCGTTGCAGTCCACACATCTCTGCCTACATTGGCACAGAGCGCGTGGACCTAGTCCCACATAGGACAATCCGTCATGGCCAAGTGCAAGATTAAGTCCGAATGCCCCTTTGGGCGCAAGCTGGATCGTGGGAGTTAGGAGGAAGACGAGGAGGAGGAGGAGGAGGAGGAGGAGGAGGAGGAGGAGGAGGAGGAGGATGAGGACCAGTGTAAACCCAAGAGTCATCAATGATGTTTGGATAAACTCTCCCTCCAAGCTCCTTCTTTATTGGCCTCTACACGGGTTCATTTCCACTGAGGGAACTGCCTCGTTGGAAGGCAACAGTTTGGAGACCCTGAAGCGTGCCAAAACATTGTTCTCGGGATTCCAACGCAACGGATCAACTGGACTGTTGCGTCTTGACGATCCGGAATCGCACCAAGAGGCCATTCCTGGGATTTCAACACCGCGAATCAATATAACTGTTGCACCCTCATAGCTTTGCTTTTCCACAACACTATATCTGGTACGCTGATCATGGGAATCCGCGAAACTCCAGCAAATTAAAAAACCACTGTACGCGGCGCTAAGGCGAGAGTCACATTTTGATAAGGAACCGCATTCAACCCGTGAAGCTCTTGCAAGTTTAGAAAACAGAATGTGCGCGGCGCTAAGGCGAGAGCCATATTTTTGAAAAGGAGCCGCATTCAATCCGTGAAGCTGTTGCCAATTTGTATGCTTTAGGGTCACAAATGGTGAGGACCTCTCATGCGAAACGCCCGGCCCGCCCTAAAAAATGGCCTCGGGGTGCGACAGGGAGAAACTAGCTATGAGGAAGAAGAGTGGAGGAGGAGCAGGGAGGAGGGAGGAGGAGGAGGAGGAGGGAGGAGGCAGTTGCAGGCCCCCCCCCCTCCCTCGCTCTGCCCCCCCCCCCGCCCCCCCTGGCTGCTTCCGAGGGCCCCTTCCTCTTTTCACGGGCGAGCCGCGCAGACAAAGCTCGCAGCGCCAGCCAGTGTTGGCGGGCTACCGCCCGCCTGCCTCGTCGCACACGAAGGGGCCGCGCGGTGGTGGCAAAGAGAGCGCGCCTCCACCATGGCCAGCATCACGTCCACCCCGTCCCGTAATCCTTCCCGTGCCTCAGTGGTGTCCCGCGCTAGCTGCCCTGACGCCGTTCCTCAATTGCACGTGGTGGCGCAGCCCTGCTGCGGTGATCCGCTTCGCCTTTGAATCATAGCGTCGTCGTTGTTTACGGTGGGAAAAAAGAAATCCTTCCCGTGTCTCCTTCCCCCCCGCAGAGAGCCAGCTCGCAGGCGGACACCGGCCTCCTCGTGCGCGGCGGCGCGGCGCGCTGGGACAGCCTGGAGGACGCGCGTGCGCCGACGCCTCCGCCTCCTGCTGCTGCTCCCGGAGCTGCTCCTCCTCCTCTCGGGCCTGGCGGGGGGGGGGGGCGGTCCTCTCCCGCGGCGTCGCCTCCCCTCCGCAGCTTCTGTTCCTTCTCTCTGGGTCGGGGTGGCGCAGTCGGCCTCGCAGCACGGCGTGTCGGACCGCTCCCTGGCCTGGGTGCTGCGGTTCGTGGCTCCTCGGCATTCTGCTCGTTCTCTTTGTCTCCCCGTCCGCCTCCGCTTTTATCAGTGCAGTTGCTGTTCGCCGCGCGGTAATCAACACGTTTGAATCTGTCTAGAATATATCTATCTATCTATCTATCTATCTATCTACCTATCTATCTATCTATCTATCTATCTATCTATCTATCTATCTATCTATATCTATATATATATATATATATATATATATATATATCGGAGTAGGGCCCGGGGGCAGTCCGGGGCGCTGCCTGTAATCTCCATGGGGGGTGCAGGGCGCCCCCGGGAGCGTCCGAAGCGTCCCGGAGGGCCCCTGGGACCACCAGGAACAGTTCGAGACCGCCCAAGACGGCCCGCGAGCGCTCCAAGACGCGCATAGATAGCCTCAGGAATGGCCAGGAAGGCCCGAAGACGTTCCAAGAGAGCTCCATGAGGCCCCGAAGGCATCCCAAGAGGCCTCCCCAGAGAGCCCCGACAAGCCAAAATCGTTGATTTTTATTTTTTTTTCCGAGGTTTTTGGCCTTCTCGCTTTTTCGGGGCTCCGACGCTCCAAGGCCGTCCAAGAGTCTCCCAAAACCGCTCCAAGACGGCCGAAGAGGCCCCCAAGACCGCCCCAAGACGGCCCAGGAGACCCCTGAAATCGTCCCAAGACGGCCCAGGAGAGCCCCAAGATGGCCCAGGAGCCGCCCAAGACGGTTCCAGGAGAGCCCCGACAGGGCTTCAAGACTGCCAAAGCGAGCCCAGCGGTACCCAAGAGGGCCCCGCGAGGCCCCAAGAGGCCCCAAAGAGGCCCCCAAGAGCCTCCCTGGAGGCCCCCAGAGGCCCCCAAGATGCTCAAAAATGGCCCTGAGCGCGCCCCAGGACGCCTCCTGGAGAGCCCAACAGGCCTGCGAGAGGCCCCCAAGAGGCCCACTGGAGGCCCTCAGGAGGTCGTCCCCATCATGTTCCCGGAAGGCGGTCCGGGGACACGATTCCGCGCCTTGGAGGAGTAGTCTGCGCCTTCCGGGGCGCCTTGGACGACGTACGTATGTTTCTATAGATTGTCCTTCTCCTGTGTGCACAATCCTACATGTTTTACGTATGTTTCTATATATGTACACACACACACACACATATATATATATTATATATATAATATATATATATATATATATATCCCTGGGGGCGAGGCCGGGGGCCCCAGGACAGGTGCCTCCACCCCCCATGGCGGGACGGGGGGGGGAGCTGGAGCCTCCCTGGAGCAGCCCAGGCGGCCCAAGAGTGCCCCAAGAGCGCTCCACGGCAGGCCCAGCAGGCTCCAAGAGGCCCAGGAGGGCGCCAAGAGGGCCCCCAAATGCCCAAGATAAGCCCAAGACGGCCAAAGAGGCCCCCAAGACGCTCCAAGAGGCTTCCAAGAGGCCCCCCCAGAGGGCCCCAAGAGGCCAAATTTGTTAATTTTACGATGGTTTTGGACACATTTGTCTTTCCCGCCTTTTCAGCTTACCGACGCTCCACGACGGCTCAAAGGCCCCCCGCGGACGCCCTAAGACGGCCCAAGAGGCCTCCAAGAGGGCCTCAAGACGGCTCTGGAGGGCCCCAAGGCGGCCCTAGACGCGCCCAAGACGGGCGAAGAGAGGCCCAAGACGGCCCCCAGAGGGCCCCAAGAGGGGAACCGCGAACCGGAAATTCGAACCTCCCGCCTCCACCGGGCCCCGGGAGGCCCCAAAGGGGCCCCAAGAGGCCCCAGGAGACCCCCAAGAGGCACTCAGGAGGCCCAAACGAGGCTTCAAGAGGCTCCCAAACAGCCCCGAGGAACCTCACAACGCACGGTGCAGACGAGCCGCACTTCGGACCGCCGCCGCCGCCGGTCCAAGAAAACGGCCTCCTCGACGCCATGCGCGCCGTGGCCTTCCTGCGGTGGCACCTCCCGCTCCGGGCCAGCGCAGAGGCCCTCGGATCCCAGAGAGAATTCTCCGTCGTCGGCGCCGTCGCCGTCGTCGGCGTCGTCGTCGTCGTCGTCGACGCCGCCCCCGCCCCTGTCGCCCCTCGGGACTGCGCTCGCCCCTTCGACTTCTCGGCTCGCCTCCCGCCGATGTTCTTGTCGCCCTTCGACTTTCGGAGGCTCCTCCCGGGGCCGTGGGTCCGGTGCTCCGGCCTCCTCCCTTCGGCGAGGCCGCGCCGGGGGGGCAGGCCCGGGGCCCGAAAACAGCTGCCGAGCTCCATGGGGGCACCGGGGCTCATTTTCCATGTGTTTTTACCGGGTTTCCGCGTCCTGGGCCTCGGAGGCCGCCGCCTCCGATCCCCCATGGGAGGACGGGTCGGCCGGGGAGGTCCAAAATAGTCCAGGAGGGCCTCCAAAGGCCCCCCAAGACGGCCCAAGCGGGCCCCGAGTCGCCGAAAAACCGCTCCAGGACGCCCAGGATAGGCCCAAGGTCGCAAGAGGCCCCCAAGTGGTCCGACGAGGACCCCAAAAGCTTCCCGAGGGCCCAAAAGGCCCCTAGGAGACGTCCAAGAGGTTTTGAAATAGCCCAAGAGTGCCCTCGATGCGTCAAAACTGCTTCCAGGAGGCCCCTGGGAGGCTTCCGGATTGCCTCAATCTGGCCGCAGGTGGCCTCAAGTCGGGCCTCCGCGCAGCCAAGACGGCCAATGACGACTTCAGATTGCAGAGCCGATGCCCCCAAGGGACCCTCAGACGCCCCCCCAAGAAGCACCCAAGAGGTGCCTCCAACAGCCAGTTGACGAAGCATGCGGAACGCCCCAGAAGCTCCTCAGATGCCGTCACGCGCCTGTGCTTGATAGCGTTGTCCAAGAAGATCGTCCAGCGCCCCCCCGGCCTGGGCTAGAACCTGAGCGCGCGCGAAGCGCGCGCGATGGTTCTAGTGTGTGTATATATATATATATGTATATATGTATGTGTGTATGTATGTATGGATGTATGTATGTATGTATGTATGTATGTATGTATGTATGTATGTATGTATGCATGCATGCATGCATGCATGCATGCATGCATGCATGCATGCATGCATGTATGTATGTATGTATGTATGTATGTATGTATGTGTATATATATACATATATAGAAATGGGGAGGGAGTCCTGGACCAGGGGTGGGCCTCACTTTGCCCAGTGGCTGTGGTCACACCCCCGCCGGAGACGCCAAGACGCTCCCAGGACCTTCTAAAATGGCTCCAGGACGCCCTCAGGACAGCCCAAGAGAGGTCCGAAGCGGCCCGGGAGCACTCCAAGACGGTTAGAAAGCTGCCAAAGCGTCCCAGCAGGTCTCCGACAGCACTCTTGGGAGGGGCCCAATAGGAAAGTGTCACTGATTTTTAGTGGGTTTTGAAGGGTTTTGGCGTTCTCCCCAGTTCGGCTTCCAGACGCTCCAAGGCGGCCCACGAGGCCCGAAAGATCGCCTCAAGACGAGCCCAGAGGCCCCCAAGAGACCACCGAGACAGCCCAAGAGGGCCCCAAGACGGCCAAGGAAGCTTCCAAGACGGCCCAAAAGAGCTCCCAGAACATTCCAAGAGGAGCCCCGGATGGGGAACACGAACTGACGTTTCGAGCCCTCGCCCACCAGAAGCTCCCAAGAGGCCCCCAGGAGTCCGCAAGAGGCCTCGAGAGGCCCCCAGGAAGCTCCAAGAGGCCTCCAAAAGGCGCCGAAAGGGCCCCGCAAGGCTTCCAGACGCTGGTGATAATGACAATGATGATTATGCAGGGCGGTCTCAGGCCCGCAACCTAAATCCCCAATACTGCTCACGCGGCATGCAAGACGCTGCGGAGATATCCTCGAGTTCGGCGGGGGAGCTTCGGAGACGACGGTGACGAAAATGATGACGATGATGACGACTATTATGAAGTTGACGACGACGATGATGATGATGATGATGATAATGATGATGATGATGATGATGATGATGATGATGATGATGATGATGATGATGATGATGATGATGATGATGATGATGATGATGATGATGATGAGGAAGAAGATTATGATGATGATGTTGACAGTGGAAATGATGATGCTGATGATGATGTTGATGATTGTGATCGTGATGTGAGTGATGGTGATGATGATGATGATGGTGGTGATGCTGACGATCATGATGACGATGACGGTGATGCCGTTGAGGATGGTGATGCTGACGATCATTATGATGATGCTGCTGATGGTCAGGATGATAACGCCGATGCTGATAATAATGGTGGCGATGCTGTTTATGGTGCTTGTGATGCAGGAGTGGGCGGATGATGAAGATGATGACGATAACGATGACTACGATCACGACGACGACGATAATGATGACGATGGCGATGATGAGGATGATTATGTTGATAATTCAGGTGACGATATTGACGATGATGACGACGATGGCGATGATGACGATGGTGATGACGATGTTGCTGCTGATGGTGGTGATGGTGACGATTGTGATGATGGTGATGGTCATGGTGATGATGACGATGCCGCTGACGATGACGCCAGATATGATGGTGATGATCATGGCGATGATGACGATGACGATCATCCTAGCTAGAACTTGAGCGCGCGCGAAGCGCGCGCGATGGTTCTAGTGTATATATGTGTATATATATATATATACAAGACTGGATTGGCGCTGCGCGCCATGCACCTTGGTCCTTTAGAGTTTCGCACGTTAGCGGTGTGCGTGCGTACGTACATGCGCACGCACATGCGCCTATGGAAACATAATACATGTGTACATCTAAATATACGTATGTATGGGTATGTACATGTATATGGACATGGTCTGTGTAACTATGTGTGCGCAGACACA